GCGCGAGCTCTCGCCGCCCACCGCCCCAAAGTGGCTGGAGGAGGCCGAGGAGGAGCGGTTGACGCTGAGGTCCATCCCATTGTAATTGTAGCCGTAGGAGCCGGTGTGCATGGCAGCGGGATCCCTGTAAGAGCCGCTCAGAGAGCTGCCACTGCCATAATTTAGCAACTGATAGTCCGGGCCATTTGGATAACGCCCCGAGAAGGAGTTTACAAAGTACGAGCTCATTTGGGTGATTTTGGAGGGCTTGATTTGTGGATCGTGGTCGTTATAACCCTGTGCTTCACGATTTATGATGTATTAATGAATTATAGCGATGCACTGTACTTCGTTTTGCTATGTATGCGGCCAAATATGGGGGGGGAGGTTGGAAGGGGGATGGGGGGGCGTTAGGGAATCACGTGCTTTTGTTGACCAGTAGGGGGGGGGGGGGCGTTAGGGAATCACGTGCTTTTGTTGACCAGTCGTAAATTCTCGCTGATGACCTCAAGAGGTAATTCATGCTCTATGGTTACAAATAATGACGATCCGAGAATCGTTAGGGCCGATTCAATGCGAGCCTCCGCGAGAGGGGGAAAAAGGAGCAGGGGGAGAAAGAGGGAGAAGATTGGCGTTGGCCTCTGAGCAGAGCGCGCCACCTCCCGGCGATCGGCGGGAGCACGGGCCGCAGGCCACCATGGCGGCGGTGACGCCTCTCGCTCTTCTCTCCCTGCGTCTGCCAGGCGGGGAAGAAACCTGGCCGGGACTCACCCGCAGGGCTGAGCCTTTTTTTAGAGGACGGGTTTGAGCCTTTTCCCCACTTTCTCGGGGCGCGGTTAGTTTATTTGTGCCTTCTCCGTTATTGTCATCACTAGGATTTTAACTCTGGATACGATGATCAAAGAATGTGCTGCTTGTCTCTTCTTAGGGCTTTGCAAGTCTCCCGAGTTGAGGGCGGAAATGGGGGAAAGGCTTGGAAGTCGTGTGCGGGGTGGGGAGATAATTATTCCGATCGCCCTCTGCACCCCAGCTCAACCCTTCGCCCTGCTTCCTGGTGGGGCTGTGCAGAGCTGGTCACAGCCGCCAGACCCTGCAGCAAAAGCTTTCATTCTCCTAGGCCCCTTGGAGGTTTAGAATCCTCTTCCTGACCTCCTTGTCATCCTGAGCCCAGTCCTGGAAATGGCAAAGCAGGACAAGGACTCTGGATGACTGACGAAGTGGGCTGAGGGGCCCAGTTGCCGGAGAGACTGCAGCAGCCACCGCCCAGAGAGCGGCTTGGGCTGGTTGGTGACATGTGCCTGAGAGCTCGGGGTTTAAACGAGAGAGACCCCTTTTCCTTCTCGCCAGATGCAGGCTATTGCACTCAGGGGGCCCCGGTCCAGGCTCTATCGCTGGCGGCTGGGCAGTCGGAGAATCTGCCCACAGCCTGCCACCTTCCCTGGGAAGGGTTCCGAGGGCCAAGGCACCGTGCTGAGCACGCTGGGCGGCCAGAGACTGCTGCAGCTGGGCCCCTTCTGCCAGGCGGCTATTTTCTTTAAAAATAATAATAATAAAAAAAACCAAGGGCAGGAGGAGGAAGAAAGAAAAACAGTGTCTCTGGTTTGCTGCTGGGGTGAGGGCGGGAGCTGAGAGAAAATGGGCCATTTTGGGTTGAGAAGCTAAGAAGACCAAATGCCCCTTCATTCGCTCCCGCCCTCACGTTTCCACGAAGCAGGGCAAAGCCAGCACCCTTTGCCTCGTGCCTGCCCTCGGCTGCACATTGCATTCTCCCGCCCCTCCTCACTGAGCACCTATTTAAGGAGGGAAGGGGGTGCCCAGAGCCTTTGGCCTCAGGCCCAAAAGTGGCCCCAGTTCTGTCTTTGGAGCCCAGGGCCATGTGTGTGGGCAGCCAGCTGAAGACTGGATGTCGCTAAGGCACCCAGACCCCGGCCCAGCCTCCTCAGAGGCTTTGGGCTGGGGGACCTGTGCCAACCCTTCCGGGGCAGAAGCAGTGGCGGTGTTGGTGGCGGCGGCGGCACAGAGAAAGGAAGGCAGGCTACAGAGTGAGAGGGAAAAGGCTCCCCCTCTGCTCCATAAGTCTGCACTGGGAGAGGCGGTTTTGAGCCTTAACATCTGCAAGACACAGTGCTGGGGGCCCTGGCTGCCACCTCAGACCACCCCAGCCTTTATCTCAGCTGGAGCTTCTGTGTCCAGGCCCTGAGGCACACGGAAACCCCCAGAGCTGAATTGGGGCTCCAGCAGCAGGGGTTATTTGGGGGTTGGAAAGGAATGTCAGGGGGGATTGGAGATGACTGAGAAGCAAGTTTTCATGTCTTTATTATTATCATCATCATTATTAATAATATTAATATTATCACCGAAGTATTTCACGTCCAGAGCTAAGACAAGGCTACAAACACAACACATAGAAAATTAATAAAATAGAACTTTGTTTTCTTCTGAGGCTCCTCTTCTTTCTTCTAGGTAGTATGTGCTCCTTCCTTCCAGTGGCTTTGGGGAGGGGTGGGACAGACGACAAGTCTGGGGTCAGGGAGTCTTCGAGGCCCCTGCTGAGGGGCAGCGAATCTACCATTGAACCGTGCACGGGGGACATGGACCAAATGAGACGCGACACGTACAAGAGCATTGCGCTCGGCTTCCAGCAAACATCAAGTGAGTCCGATTCTCAGTTCTCACCCGGGAGCCAGACCAGGCCCAGGCGGGTTCTTCGGGGAGGGAAGAGGCGCTGGGGTGAGGGGTGGGCTTAGGCGGCGCGGCCCGAGCGCC